ACCAACCCACTGTGGCCAGAGAGTCAATCCTCACCCTCAGAAATAATTCCATTATGGCCAAGGAATTCAATAAAAACACAGCAGAAATGGAGCACAGGAGAGAGGAAGGTAACTCAAACGAGGAGCCATCAAGGGGAATCTCACAACAGGAGAATTATGAGTTTCCAAACCCAGGGAATGCTGGGGTTCCAAATGTTGAGATTTAAAATTCTGAAGAGAACCTGATGGAATCACCTTCTCCCCAGGGCTACCCCTCAGCTCAGGTCAGTGCTGAGGCCACCACAGAGCGAACATAAACCTTTGTGAACCCCGATTTTGCTGGGTGGGCTTGTACAAACTAACATGATGTGGCCACTGGTATCTGTGGGATCTCCCCTTGGAGAGGAATGGCTCCTCAGAGGGGGCAGAGCCTCTGCCCCCAGAGCTTACTGGTTTTCTTAGAAAGAAGACAAAAACATTCTGTCCCTTACAGCAATAACCTGCACACATAAGGGTAAGAAAAAATACAGCAACAACATATTGGGAACTTACTGTTTGATGACCAAATGTCTACATCTGTGTAACATACTTGTGGCTAGTCAGATGTTCGGCAGATATTATGGGTATCTACAGGTAAGAAATGTAAACAGTGAGTGACAGGTGCAAGGAGCCCACCCAGAGGCACAGCATTTGCTACAGAACATCAGTTTGGGAAAGGGAGGATCAGCTGTGAGTTGGTGCATTTATATTGTAACTATAAGTTAAAGTCAACTGAAGTGCTACAATAGCAACTTATAACTGGAAAACACTGGGTTAATACTACTGGACAAATACAAATAAGTATTACTGGTTGTTCAGGAAATAGGAGAAGTTAACATCTACAAGTCATGCAGTGCAGTAATTGAAAATAGCCCTTTTTGTTGGCCTACACAAAATTCTGTGCTTTCAGTGTCTCAGACGGTGAATTCTACAGTGGCCTCTCTCCAGTGTGATTTTGTGAAGTGCTCACTGCTGTCACTGTCACTGTCCTGGGTTCTGAATGCCAAGCCTACGATCCCTGGGCGTGATTTCCATGGCTGGTGGAAGTGCGTGGCTCAGAAGAGCCCCGTCCTCCCCGCAGCGCTGCGGCACCGCGCGGAGCCGCCGGCACGCCAAGCCTCCCGAGCAGGGACCGGCCCCCAGCGTGCTCGGCTGCACAAGCAGCACCGGGCACGCGGCTCCAGGTGCCCCTCCAGCAGAGCAGGCTGCGCCGGGGCCAGCTGCCAGCAGTGCCACTGGCGGGTGACGCTGCGCCCTGGCTGTGGTCACGGCGGCACCCAGCCCCGCAGCGCCCAGGGGAGCAGGGAACCGCGCTGGGGCCAGGACACAACACGGATTTGCACAATCCCAAATGGCCGTGGCACTTGGAAAGACCCTTTTTCCTGACGGGCACCAGGGATGGCCCGTGAGTCTGCCCAGGCAAGACAATGGGGGCTTCTTCTCAACTAACTCCCTGGCAGGACCTGCTGCTGCTTTTCCACCCACGTGCCCTCTCCTCCCCTGGCAGCTCGCACATCCCAGCATTCCAACTCCACAGAAACGGGCTTGGAGCAGAATGAAGCTTCTCATACCATGTTTTCCTGCTGCTGCAGGACAGGCTGCGGCACCCGGCTGGAGCAGCATCAGGGGCAGTGCTGTCGAACAGACCAAGGACCTTCCGCACCAGCCCGGGAAGATGGAGGGCCACATCTTTAGCCTTTGGCATGCAGGCACACGGCATTGGGTGGCATTAAATACCTTCAGCATTGCTCACATGGCATATACATATATGGGCATATATGTATATATGGAGGTTTGGCTGCAGAACTGCACTAAGTGTGTTATGAGGCTCTGGGGAGGAAAGGCATGAAATGACCAGATTCTACAGGAGGAGGTTTTCCCTGTGATCTCCCTGGGAAGTGCATGGCTACTAACAGAGAGAGGATTTTAAAATAATGACTTTTTCTGTGGCTTGTCTTGCTCTCACAACCCTCAGGTCATGCACAGGATACAGAGACACACTGGAAGTAACTGTCTGGTGCAATAAACTACAATATTAAGAGACTTTGGGCATACAGGAGGTTGTTTGCTGAGGTGGCACATATGCAGAGGTAGCCCCACTTGTGAACTAGCTTTTCAAAACGCAAATTCTTAGGCAAGTTTAAAGCCCTGAGTGAGCTGTTCGTTCAGCAAACATTTCTCAAGAGAAGAAAGTGCTAGCTGCTGAGCAGACTAACCTGGGCTGCTTTTGGAATTCTACAATATCCAGGTTCCTTTGGAGCTCGGGATGTGCACGCCTAGGTGTCACTGGTGTCACTGCAATGACGCCATTTGGGAATTGTGTTTTTGAGAGATGAGGAAGCAGACAGGTTAACGAGGGATGTACAGCTGGGGCAGCACAAAATGGTAAAGGTTGAAGCCAAAGGCCCTGGGGCTCACTCTGCAGCTCTGGTGTCCTGAGGAGCCACCTGTCCTGAGGCAGGAGCCGAGTGCGTCAGGTAAGCCTGCCTTAACACTGGCATTTACCTGCACAGGAGCAGAGCTGCACAACGCTGAGGAGAAGCTGGAGCTCCCTTTCTAAGGGGCACACATGTGATCCCATTGAGCTGGAAGCAAGACCTGCATATCAGACCAGAACTGACAGCTTCATGGCATGGACAACTAACTGCCCAGCAAACCTCAAAAAATAATTAGCTTTTAGAAGAGGAACAGGAGAACTCTTTAAAACGTTTTTATTGTTGCACTTTCAGCCAGGCGTTGTACAGAAATCTGCTTTTCTGACAGCATCCTGTGCTCAGGTGCAGCTCCAGCCGCTCCTCTGGGCCAGGGACTCATCTTTACAGCATTGGTTCTGGCTTTCCTGGGAGGACTTCTAATCACTTACGTGGCAAAGCATTACTCTCATATTCCTGAAATACATCCAAACATGGCAATGACTGGGGTGGCTATTGAGAAAAAACCCAGACTCTAATGGGCATTTTCTTATCTGAGCTCTGTTCAAAGCAATGGGCCACGCCAAGGAGAATCACAAGGCTGCAACAAAGGCTTCAAGGAAGTTTCTGTGTGGCCCATGCTCACAGTGTTTTGTTTTACGCTTGGAAGAGGAGAGTCAGAACATGTCTGGACTGCTAAACTCAGACTGGAAGAACCTGCAACCCCTCTGCACAAAGACTCCCCTGGCTTTCCCTGAGTTCTGCGCTGAAAGGAGCTGTTGGCTCCACAGAAATGGAAATAAATCATGGGTTTGTGTATTATCCCTTGCTCTTTGCATCCCTGAGAGCAGAAATAAGCAGCATGGCCCATAAATGTCAAGACTGAGTCAGAAACCCTATTGTCAATTATTTTTAGCATCAGAAATGGAACTGCAGCACCTTTGGAGCACAGCTAAGGGCTGATTAAGCCGTGCTGCAGCTCTCTGAGAGAATGTGTAGGCCAACAAGAGGTCAGATCCAAACCCCCATGCTCATTAAAGCACCGATTTCGAGTCGTCTGTAAGGAACAAAGCTGTAAATTAGCAAACCTGGTTGGCTGTGGCTGTTGCAGCGAAGGGAACACTTGTGGCAGATGTTGTTGCTGCAGACACAGTGGCTGGCGTAGCACCGTGCACCATGGGAACTTTCGGAAGGAAAATCAAATAAGCAAACGTACAGAAGAGTGGAGCAGAATGGGACCAGAGCGCCACGTGGCAGGGCCATTGAGCATGGTTCACCACAGCGAGAAGCCCGAGACACCATGGCCAGCGCGTGACATGCAACCACAGTGCAAAGCAGGACAACATTCCGGGACAGGGGGAGGGAGGTGAAAGAGAAAAAAAAGGGGAAAACGCTTGTTACCATCAAATCAAGAAAATCGACACAAACAAGCTTAACCGTTTCAATATGAAAAACAACAGGAGAGTTTTTTTCAATGCCCTTATATTTACAAATTTTTGTCTTTTAAAAATTCAACCCAAATATTTACTGCTAGCAGAAATTAATCTTGTAGAAGGACAGAATACAGCTATGTGGCTATGGTAAGATACAGTCTTTAGTTAACACAAGATAGTTTCTAAACACTGGAACTCATAGTCCAGTCAAAATCCACCAAGGAACAAAGTGCAATTAAAAACTGCTGTACAAAATTAACATCTACGTCTCCGTGTCAATTAAATAAAACAATCACATTTAATTGACAGGTGTTAGTGCAGGAGGCTCGGGGAGATGGACTGGCACAAGGGCTGTACATTAAATCTAGCAGTGGATTTTGAGGGTCTGTGAGCTGCACCACAGGTTTAAGATAATCAAGAAACAAAGCTGGCACCTACCAACACTTGTAGCGGGTGTCATGCACAATATTGAGCCTGCTCATCATGCATTGCAACAGGAAGGTGGATTTGGAAAGGGAAAAGAATTAAAACAACCCATCACACGTGTAATTAGAAATTTCATTGAACAAAGAAGAAAAATTGTTATTACGGGCACAGTGGCATGTAACTGTCAGCACAATCAAACCATACAATAGCACAGTGATCCGTCAGAACGAGGCCTCGGGGACAGGGCAGCACACAGAGCTGTGCTGGGACCCTGCTGGCCTTCCTCAGCTCCAGCTCACAGCTCCTGAAACCTTTCTGCCTTTTGACACAAGCCTTGTCATGGCCCTTGCCCTGCTCTTCTCAGATCAAAAGAGATGCTTCAAACTCACCCTGCCTGCGGTCCTCAGTGAGGTACCAGGGACCAGGCCCTGCTGTCCTTGTTGGAGCCATCCAGGCAGATGGACAGTGGGAGGTGACACAACCTCTCCTCTCTCCTCTCCTCTCCTCTCCTCTCCTCTCCTCTCCTCTCCTCTCCTCTCCTCTCCTCTCCTCTCCTCTCCTCTCCAGTGCCCAGGGAATGTCTGGGAATGTCCAGTGAGTGGGCAGGCAGGGCTTTGGCTGCCCCTGAGCCCTGGGGCTGCCAGAGAAGGGGCAGTGCCCCAGCCTGTGCCCCACACATGCAGTGGCTGGATGGTCACAGTGCCTGTGTAGCTCCTGGTGACACCCCACAGCTCCTGCTCGGCCTTTTGCTCTGCGTTGTAGGATGTATTGTAAGCTGCTGGTGCTCACAGCCCCAACTCCCTGCACACACACACCTGGGCAGTTCTGCCCTGCAACCAGAGCCAGGAGCAGGAAGGTCTTTTTAGGATCATTCTGGCATCATTTTTAAGTATCACCAAGTTGGCAATTCTCTTTATGTTACACAGCAAAATGCCATCCACCAGACTAATCTCACAATCTTCCATTTCTGCTTCCAAGATGAAAAACGTATACTGACCTTCCAGAATATCCATTTTTAATAAATTATTTACTTTTTAATTTAACAAGTAACATTTATTAACACTGTTAATGATAAGTGGGAGAGCAGAAACGGAAATAAACTCTGGAATCTGGGAATGAGACTGCAGTCGAAATGGAAACGTGTTCTAGCAGGCTGCCAGAGGCAGCCAGGCAGTGCTGGCCTGTGACATCCCGTGGCTGTGTGGGGACAGGGAATGGCTCCAGCCGTGCCAAGCGCTGCAGGGGATGCTCAGCCCCAGGAGCATTTAAGTATGCAGGGAAGAAGCTGGCCAGTTTAATTACTGCTGGGGCCAAGGTTATCCTCTGTCACTGCTGTATCTGTACAGCAACAAGGGCAAGGGCATCATCATGCTTCCTAAGTACTCCTCTGTGCCATGCAAGAGACTGAGGACACTGGCAGAGGGTAGAGGGAGGGTGCTTCTCCTGACCTCCCCTGGCACAAATCACGGCTGAAGCCAATGGGATCACTTGCAAGATAAAAAATGGAGCAGAATTTGGGTAAAAAGCACAACCAGTAAGCAGAACTGCTTTCCTGGTCCCCCCCGTGGGCGCTCAGTGGGGCTCCAGAGGAGCTGAGCTGTGGCTGAGCTGTGGCTGAGCTGTGGCTCTGCAGGAGTGCCCTGCTCACACGCTGTGCACCCTGCAAGGCTCCTTCCCTCCATGCACCAGTGCCCTCCCTGCACCTGCTACACATCAGCTGGGCATTGCAGCCACTCTGAAACATCCTGCAACGCTCTTCAGTTCAAAGCTCCACGCTTCAGTCTCAATGAGCACCATTAACATTACAACCAGTGCACACAGTTTTTGAAAGGGAATTAAAGCAAATGAATGTGAGGCAGAAAGTAGAACGCTTGCTGGGGTGGCATAATGCCCAAACACAGATATTATGCTTTGTGACCCTCTTACCAGTAATAAAAATAATTTTTGATATGATCTTAATATTCCACTTGACTTCAGAAGCTTTGACTGACTGATGAGAACACATGAATAATGAATGTGCACTTTCAATGTTCCTTGGCTGTTCAGCACAAGGCAGAACTTTAATTTGAGGATATTCTGACTTAACTGACCATAACTTCATAAGCAGATTATTTTTGCAGCACAATAAAACTATTTCTATAAATATTCTAGGTTTACTGTTGTTTTATTTATTTATTCTTTTTTCTCTCCTGTATTATTTCCCTCAGCCTATTTTTTCTGCCCAACCTACTAAAGCCTAATTAAAAACAACACTCCAGAGAGCACAGGCGCTCCTGTGGAGGTGAGCAGTGGTGTGTGACCTTTCCCTCCCCAGTGTGTTGGGGGAGAGCAGTGGTTTTGCATAGGCCCACAGCCCCAGGGAGGAAAGTGCTTTAGTAAAGCCTCTGTGCATTGAGTCACAGGCAGGAACAAGGGAGTCTCTGGTGCTGAAGCTGGAGTAACTGAACAAATACACAAGGGGTTATCATGATGCAGCCTTTCCTCACTGGCTCTGGGGCTCAGCTGCCAGCTGCAATCCTGCCCCTTGCACTGTAGCAGGTGCCAGCTCCTGGGAGCATCCTGCCAGCCTGGCCCTTCCTCTGGAGGAGCTCGCTTCTCTGGCCACTCTGGTCCCCTGGGGACACACCTGGGGCAGAACAGCTGCACCCACACTCCTGAGGAGATGGGAGCACTGGAGGCACTGGAGGTCACCAGCTGCCCCCAGGGCACTGCAGCCAGGACATGGAGCAGGCGAAGGGCTGAGGACCTGGAGCTCTGCACATTGGCAGCAGGAGGGTCACCCACGTCTGCCGAGGTGCCCCAGCTGGCAGCCGGGACCCAGGGAGCAAACCCAGGCATGGCAGGGTTTGCAGGCCTGCCTCCTGCCTCGGCAGACTAACTCCCTCATCCCACCAGCACAAACGGTCCTGGTTCTCTCCTGCAGCACCCCTGAACTCCCCTCTCAGCCTGGGGACAGCTTCCAGCAGCCACGGTTTGGGGACACCTCAGGAGGAGGGGAGCTGTGCAGAGGGAGCTTTAGCTGGGAGAGCTGATATGAATGTCTGAAGAACATTTAATCACTTAGGGCGTGCTGGAGTGCAGTGTCCACCCCCAGGCATGGATGTTTCCTGGATGTGCTTCACATCCCTGGCACAGCCAGCCAGGACAATGCCTTACAATTCATAAGAGGTATCTGAGGCTTTCTGGGTTATCAGTGGGAGAACATGAGGAGTGAAGTGCCCTGCAGAGGGGAGGGTCCTGCCCAGCTCGCCCACAGGGGACCAACCCTGGGCACACCCACCCTGTGGAGGCTCTGCAGGTGTCCTGCCCTGCAGCCCTCCTGCACACTCTGCCTGGAGCAACTGGGAACACAAACAAGCACTTACACCTTGGCTGTTTGAACCTGAAAAGTGTCACTTTAATTCAGATCCCACTGAGCTGCCCTGGCCCTGCTCCGTGGCCGTGGAGCTGGGGGCACCCACGCTCTGTGCTCTCCGTGGTTTCGCAGGGACAGATGGAGAAACTCTGTTTCCAGGTGACTGTGCCCAAACAGGAACTGATCCCGCTTCTTTTGGAGCGGGAAAAACTAAAAAGGGCAAGGTGCCCAAGACACTTTTCAAACTTTTTGGAAAGTACTGGACTACTGGGAAGCTCAAACTGCAGCTATCTGAAAAATATAAAGAGAGAATTTATAACAGCTCAGGCTAAAAACTCACTTTTCTTGTGTAACATACACTAAACTTCAGTGGTCAGGAAAGGCCTAATGAAGCCTCAAGAACCACTGCCAAGCTCCTGGAGGCTTCAGTGGGGATCTGCTGGAGGAAGAGCTGAGGCAAGGTGTGTCACTGACATGAAAGACCCCAGTCTATGATGAGGTGCAAATGGGGTCTGGCACACACAAACCACAACCCCGGCTCCTGAGTTTGAAGGGGAAGTACAAAGGCAGCTCCAGCATTTCCAGAAACCATCCAGACCCTTGCTGCTTTCATGGAAGCTGGAAAATTGCAGTTTATGGACTCCACTGGTGATGCTGCGCCAAGAGAGATGTATGAATTGTTTAACATTCATGGGAAGGATTCTGAGTCTATCTGGATGGGGCTCTGAGCAATCTGGTCTATTGGAAGGTGTGCCCCCATGGCAGGGGGTCTGCAATGAGGTGGTCTTTAAGGTCCTTCCCAACCCAAACCACTCAGTGGTTCCGTGAGTCTGTGACTGCACATGTATTTTTATATGAATTTTAATGTGTGGGCTAAGGATCTGACCTGCAGCTTACCCATCCCATCTTGCTATTGACTCTAGCAAGCTTTGCAACATTTACTGATACGTTTCAGTAGCTGTAATTCATTTTTGCATTTTTAAAATGCACTAGATCAAGAAACGGAATTTTGTGCCATTTAAAGTACACGTGTTGGTTGCATGCCAGGTCAAGACACAACAGTAAAGGGCATTATACTGATCTCCTGGGAACATACTTGTCGAAGATGTTTAGGATAAAATCCTTTAAATTTCTGGGTAGGGACTGATTAGCTCTATTCCTTCCCCTTCCCAGTCTGCATTATGAAGGGCTGTCCTCACAGACTCTTTCCCATTTCTGAGTACAGATCTATCAGCTGGACACCTCCTGGAATGATGGTGCTGCTTTAGGTGTAACAAACTACCTCAGCTGTGTAACTGAGGGCAGGAGCTCCCAGGACACACTGGAGATCACTTCTCATGCAGTGCCATCGGCAGAACCAAAGCACAGACTCCAACTTTATGTCCCATCCCTAGTCCTCCAAAAGGATTTCTGCTTGGTCCATAGCACAGGCATCAACTCTTCAGCGATTACACCAGGACTCTTGTGAGGACAAGCACTTGGCTTTCCTCAGTCCAAGACCAGCCCTGAGACATCAGTGGTGGAGGTGTGCAGGTTTGTGATTCTCCACCCGTGAGACTGCCTGTGCCACCTGGGATCACTGCACCCCATTAAAACCCCACTAAAAAACCCCTTCGTGTGTGTGACTCAGAGCCACCAGTGCCAAGGCCAAGGGGTCTTACAGGGAAACAAGCACGACAGCTGAGGGATGTGGAAGGAAGAGCAGTTAATCCAGGGAAAGAGGAAGGAGAGAGGAGATTTCAAATTCTGATTTGGGGTGACAGAGCATGGTGCTGATTTTGTGTTAGACTGGAAAACACCCACCCAGCTTCTGCGAGGAGCAGAGAGAAGCCAGCGCTGCCGGCAGCCCGTCCTGTGCCCAGGGGCACGGGGCACTGCTGTGCCCTGGCTGGAGGGGCTGCCCGTGCCTGCCCTCCAGCACACACCACGTTTGCACCAGCAACCAACAGCTGTGTCCTAGTGTGCTTTCCCCAGAAATCCCCCTGCTCCCGCCCCTGGAAAGGCACCAGTGATGCACTTACCTGGTGGGAGAAAGGCTGTATGCTGCTGTAACTGCATGTTGGCAAGAGCTTGCTGGTATTGGAAGATACCAGTGTTAAAGACTGCGGTGGCACCATTGGTTTTTTCAAGCGCAGGCCTCTTTGGTAAGGGGGGAAGTACAGCTTGAGGAATTCCCTGAATGGTGGATGGGTATAAAAATAAAGTCCAGTAACAAAAAGAAAAAAAAAAAAGGGAGGGGTGGGTGGGGTGTGGAGGAGGATGGGAGGGAGGGAAGAAGGGAGGAGAAAAGGAGAGAGAAAAAGGAAAAAAGAAAAATCAGTAGAAGGCAAAATAACCAGGCAGCACCATGTTTCTCCATGAGCAAGCAAGCGGCATAGCAGACTGAACTACCAAATAAAAGGCGAGGGAAGAGCTTTCCAGGGAGCACCATTTGCCTACACTAGAGCGGCACAGGGACCGGCGGGACAGCCGCCACGGGCACCGCATCAGTGCCACGCCACGGGAAAGCTTCGGGCTGGGCCAGGAGCCAGGCTCTCGGGGAAGCAGCACTGCTAGCTCCATGAGGATCACACGTAGAAGCCATGTTAATAGTCACCGCCTGGAGTGGATGGCAGGGCCGCGGTGACACCCCAGTCCCCGGGCCCCAGCGCTGCCCGGGCATGCAGAGCGCGCCGCATGCCGGCCCCGGCCGCCTCCGCGCCACCAAGCCATGCCAACGCCCCTGCGCCGGCACCCGGGAGGGGACAGGGGACAGGAGGGCAGGGGAGGGGACGGGAAGGGCCGGCAGGGCGCGGGGGCGGCGGGGAGGGCACCCGGCCTGGCCCACCGCCCGCACGCCCTTTCCGGGGACGTGGGGAGGGAAACCGGGATGTTCCATTTCTACACATTAACCCCAAACTCGACTCTACGATACAGCTACATGCCAAGCTAAAAGGTGAAAGGTCATAGTACCAGGTCAAAGGTTGCCTCGAGGGGTCGCTTCAGTGATTTGACAGCCGACTGAGTCTTAATTAGCAGGCAGCGAGCACATGATGGCAATGGCCAGTGGGGTCAAGCGCATTAACATAAACAGCAAGCAGAGGTGCGTCATGGGGGCAGCAGTGCATTTGGGGAGGTGAGAAAAAACAAATAAAAACAAATCACCGGATGCCGTGTACAACGGTAACAAGACTAGGCATGCAGGGCCCGACGGGCAGGGCAGCGGGGCGGCGGGGTGCCCACGGCCAGCCCCGGCCCCGCCAGGGCCACGCCGGGTGGCCGCGGGGCTCACGGCCGCGCACAGCTGGGCACCCGCGGCCACCGCCTCGCCCCGCCGGCCCTGCCGCCCCCACCGTGCTCCGCTTCCCACACCCACGGCTCAGCACAGGCGGGACCCTCTGCCACCACAGCCCCCCAGTGCTGCCCTCGCCTCGCCAGCACACCTCGGGGGCCCAGGTCTGGCTGCTGCCGCGACGGGCACGGGACAGCCACCGCCAGCCCTCGGGGACACGGGACGGGGACAGCAGGAACATGGTCAGTCCACTTCAAACTACACCTCTACAAACATGGACTTACAGAAACTAAACATGGATTTATCTAGCTGTGCACACACACGGACACACGGCTGACCAGAGACACAGGCAGTACAGACACGCACACACGCGTGCACGCACAGAGGTACGCACAGCTACTCCGTACGTCGGCAGGCAAAATTAGTCACACACCTCAATGGTCTGGAACTACTTCACAGCACATCTGCACCACATGCTGAGGAAGCTCATTGCACCGTGTAGTGACCGGGGTCCCCAAGCACACGCACCCTCCTCAGCGAGGACAAACACACATCCACCATTGCCTCTCCTCAGTGTACGCCTACGTCCAGAAGTGCTCCCACACTCACCATGGCAGCTGCAGTCGCTGCTGCTTGGGCAGCTGCAGCTTGGTTAACCTGGTACTGGGCAGCCTTGATCTTGGCTTGCAGGTGTGCAGGAGGGTGAAAATATTTGCACTTTTCCCGGGAGCACCTCCCTTTGATGTAATCCATGCAGACGGTGACCGTGTTGTCGTTGGTGTCGATCATGGCGCTGTCGGCGGGGTGAGCGAAGCGGCAGTCGTTCTCTCCCCTGTTGCAGTTCCCACGCTGGTACTCCCGACATACCTGTGACACCAGGAAAAGAAAGCCACTTACTTTGGGTGATGGGTGCTGCAGGCACGGCTCGGGGCAGACACAAACTTTCTGAAAGTCTGTGAGAGCACCATGAGGAGGGCTCAGGAACCTGGCAGCAGAGACTGGCTTCTCCAGAGCCTCTTCTGATGTCAAGGAGCATGAACCCCACCGTGATCAGAGCCAAACACACTGCAGGTGTCATTCTGGTTCCCCTTTAGCTGCCCAGGGGGCTGTTTCTGTCTCCATATGCTGTGGCTGCTCTCGGGCACCACCCCAGCACCCCAAGGCGCCCAGCCATGCTCTGCTGTGACCTGGCTGTGCTCGATGTGCTCATTGAGGTGATGGACGGTGTGTGGCCGTCCCCAGCGAGCCCCACCGGGTGGGCACTCTGTGTCCATGTGCCCCCACAATCCAGGAGCCTGCCAGGAGACAGCAGCCCAAGGCCACGGTGGTGGCACAGGCGCTGTGCTGCCCAGCATCACCCCGGGGAGGTGGGGAATGGCTGTCACACGCCAGCAGCCAGCTGGGGCTGGAGGGCTCAGATGCTGCAGCTGCCTGGGTGACAGCCCCTGCAGGGTCCCCCTGGGCTCCAGCCAGCCCCGAGCCCACACAGACCCCAGGCCCCCAGCACCGCACACACAGACTGCCACCGGCATGACAAAACCCAGCCCCTCTGCACGGGTGCAAAACCCTGTGTCTGACAGACCAACGTGGGCTCCTGCCATGGTCACTTCTCCCCAGACTGCCACAAAAACAAAAACAACAAAAACACTTCACATTCCGGTTTTCCAAAGGCCATAGGATACAACGGCACAAAAGCAACCTGGTCTGCCCAAAAATAAAACCCTTTAGTAGATGGAACTTCCTGTTCAAGGTGGGTGCCTGTGAGCTTGGATCATAAGTATTTCCTCAAGAACCTTGGCTCTGATCGCTGCAACATCCCAGATTGGTGGTGGTTTGGTTTCCCTTTACCCCCACCAGCCCTCTGGCTGCCATTTACCCTCGTGCCACTGCCACTGCTCCCAGCAAATCCTCATGGTTATCAACTGCCCCCCCTGTAGGACCAGGACCAGGTTGAGTGTGAAAACATTTGTCCAGGGCCATTCCTGAACGTTCACAGGCTTTTTTCACGTGGTGACAGACTCCAGGTGTGTACTGGCACCTGAGCCAGGCCCAGCCCCTCCACGGCCCCTGCTCATCCCGTGCCCTCTTGCTCAGGGCTTGCAGAACAGATTCTGCAGCACACCAGAAACAGCTCAGGCAAATTCCTGGACTGGAAAAGAAGCACTGGCCTGCCAAGTGATCCTGCAGCCAGATCCCTTCCCTGGTCCAGTCCCCTCCAGTGACACATGCCAGCCAGCACAACCCAGAGCTGACCAGCTCCAAGAACTTCTAAGCTGCTTCTCTCTGGCAAAACATGGCATGCAAAACCAAGTGAAAAACAGCTTGGCTGTGGTCATTCCTGACTTTGGAACACCTCTAATAGAGAATAATAGCATTCCAACAGAAACAGCTGTTTTTGGTAAAGCATTAGGCAATTCCTTTTTCTCTCACTTCCCTGTCCTTCTTGCTTCTTTTCTAGTTCACTGAAGAACCACACTTTGTTCAAGAGATTTCCAGCAGGGGAGGAGTGTGAGGAGAGCTGTGGAAAAGCCCGAAACCATGACACTTCCATCCTGAGATGCAGATTCTTTACAGGAGTGGCTGAAAACACTGGACACCCGACACCTGCATGCTGTCAGTATGAAATCCGGATGAAAGCAGTCACCGACCTCACTTTACCAAGACTCACATTCATTCAGGAGACGCAGCCTGCCCAACACAGCTGTGGTGTCTGCCTGCATCCCTGAGAACCCCAGGTGTGCTTACTGAGAGCTTTCAGCCTGGGAACAGCTTGGGGCTGTATGCCAGAACGTGTGCTGACTTAATTTCTGCCAGTGTATATCACTCTTGAAAATAAATATTTAAAAGTCTAAGCAGAACCAATCATATTCCAAGATTAGATGCTAACATCATTGTGGTTATTTTTCTCCAGGACAGTTCATTCCAAGGGAGAGTGAGTGGAGCCTTATAAAGCTCTGATCTCGCTGTAACAAATGGCAATGCCACAGCTGCAGCCCCGGGAAGAGCAGGTAGGCACTGCTGGCTCCTCTGGGAGGCAACAGCCACATCATACAGAATCTCCAAAATCCATTCTGCATTTCTGTAGCCTATAAAGTACATTCAAATATTTTGCTGTTCATAAAAATTACATGCTCGATTAGTGTTTGGATACTAAATTTGGATACTCCAGATCAGATGACCACTGTGCTGGAAAGCATTTGCAAATTATGTTCTCACCTACACGTTTCACTGTTTAAATTGGATTTTTAGAAGGGAAAAACAGTATTGTGACCCTAAGAGTGCTAGTCTAGCATCTCCCTCTCATGCAGAGGAGTTTGGCTCAGCAGTGCACCACTTCTCTGAACAGCAATATCAAGAGAAGGCAGCTTCCAGAGGGCCCAATCCTGCACGCCGAGGTCCCAGGTGACATCAGCTCCCTGTGCACAGCGCTCACAGCCTGCAGCCAGCACCAGGGCTGCCCTGGAGGGGCACACAAAGGGGTGTCCCTGCTTTCCAGGGTGCCTGGGGACAGTGGTACATCCTGCTTATGACCAGGATGCTTCTGAGCCCTCATGTCCCACCCTGACCAGCCCACGGGCACTGCAGGGCTGGAGGCACAATCAAACACAGCAGCTGATCTTGGCAGCACAACTCAAGGGGTTCCCACCATAGGTATTCTCCTCTCCATACTAATTTCCAAATCCATTATGATTTATTTATGAATTTACCTAATTGCATTTTGGTTTTAATCCACCTCTGGCAGGTGTCCATCATGAAACACAGTCCTCAAGGGAAAAACATCCCTGGGTGATTCCAGCAGCCACCTGTGTGCCAGCTCAGAGCCCGGCATGGCTGCCTCCCCTGCAATCTGAGCGTGCTTTGGGGAACGCTTCCCTCGGGGAAAACATCTCTAAAAAGGGAAATGATGTGATCCCACAGGAGGGTGACCTGTGGTGAAGTGAGCTCTGAGAATAGTGACAGCAGCAGCGGGAAATGCTGGCTGCCAGATGATCCTCCACACTGCTCCCAGCTCGCCCCTTCTGAGCAGCAGCTCGTCAGTCAGGGATGCAGCTAAGGAAAAGGAATTAATTTCCCTTGGAAGGAGAGTTCACCCCTGCTAGTGCAGATGCACAGGCAGAAAGAACAGAGGTACAATACAGTAGGCTGCATAAAACAGAGATCGTTCTTGCTCCTCCCAGCGTGCTCCCTGAGCTTAGTGAGCAGACCCAGTGCCAGGAGGGAGAGCAGCAGCAGCCGTGCAGGAGGCAGCAGCCTCGAGCCCTCACCCCGCCGTGCCCAGCACACACCAGGCTGGCAGCAGGGCAGCCTGGCTGCTCAGCCTCCCCCATGGCTGCCTTTTAACCAGCAGACCCAGCTAGGGCTGCCAAGCACCTGCTCTCAGGCTG